AATTAATATAAGAGTTAGCCAATAATAAGCTAGAGGTGGGCCAAGCAGTGTTTTAATTAATAGTTTCTGTGTGGTTATTTCGGTTCTGGGTGGCTGGGGCAAACAAGTGGTTCCTTGCAACAGATGTCTGCTGTGAAATGGTCTCTCTTAGAAAGAGCTACATGAACAAGACCAGAAGCAATGGCAAATATCAGTATACATGCTAATGCAGAAGGGCAGGAATCTCACAGGGTCCCACCCCTGGATAAAGAACAACAGGGAACAAATGAAATCAGAGAGAGAGAGAGAGAGAGAGAGAGAGAGAGAGAGAGAGAGAGAGAGAGAGAGAGAGCTGCTTCCAGAGATGAACCCCTTACTGGTTATGCGATACAAAGCCTTGAAACCATATAGATATAAACAATAAAAATGGACTCGGGTGACTGTATTTTTATAGTTGTCTGGGGGGCAAGAGTGCACATGTGGGTGAGTGCATGCATGCATGAAGCAATAATAATCAAAGACAAAGAGACTATCAGTTTGAGAGTTGGAAGTGGGTCCTGAGAGGGGCTGGAAGAAGGAAAGAGAAGAAAGGATGTGGCACAATCCTATTTTAACTAAAATGCATGGAAAAACTAAAAAAACAACAAAACACAGGGCTGAAGGAAAACTATGGCCATGGAGCCATGGGACAGCTCATGGCTGCTACCAAATCTGGAGTGACTGTGGCCTTCTAAGGACGGACAACATATCTTTGTTCTCTAGTTTTCACAGATGCGATTGTTTGGCACTCTCCTGACATGGCAATGTCCCAAAGGTCCCTGAGAACATTTGAAAGACAAGATTATAACCTCAGAGAAGACTTCACTGCAGCTTCCTCCCCAGAGTGAAGGTGGACCACACATATTCAGACCCACAAAGAGGAGGATGTACTGCCTGTGTGCCTGTCTGCATCTGTGACCATGAAAGAACCAGTGTGAAGGCCCGAGGATGGAAATTCTACTTAGAAGCCATGAAAACATCACCCCGGCTAAGCTATGTTGAGTCAATCCTGCATTGTATGTATGGAAGGATGAGAATAGTCAGCCACAGACTGGGTCCTTCTAGATTCCCTCTTATAGCTGTCAAGACAGCAATTTCAAATTCAGACATGATTTAATGGTTTATCCTCTTACTCTCTGGCAAAATATTTAAATTTACATCTATTTCCATGAATGGCCAAGACTGCAAAAATAAAACTCAAGGCTTCCAAGTATACTTAGAGATGACAGACATCAGATAATGTTTAAAATAATCATGATACACTTGAAGAATTAATCCTAGGTCAGATTCTTCCAGACCAATGTGATATATTGCCTGATAATTCTGTTAAACAATGAGGTAACCAGGTAAGGGATTACAAGGTCACATGATCCTTACATGTATTCCTGGGACTCTGTACAGTGCTTCTATACCTACAACACGCACTGTGGATCTACAGGCTGCAATTTGCCTGACACTGAGCCTGCAAGTGGGAGACAATACTACACTATGGGTAGCCTGGAAGAGTCAGATCCTCCAAAGGTATAAGCACAGTACATCTCTAAGAGCTAATGCTGAGGAAAGCCGTCTTAGGGCTGGAGATGTAGCTCAGCAGTTGCAGACTTGTGTCTTAGGTACGCAACCCTAGGTGGGGTCCCTGGTGCTAGGAGAGAAAGAACCCACCTCATCTTATCCTGTCACTCACAAATACTGGGCTTCAAGCCTTGCTTCTGCATCACCTCTCTTGTTCAGCTCCATTTTCACAGATCAGAGAAGGAAGAAAGGACTGCAGGAAGGCAAAGCAAAGACAACTGGGAACAGTAACTGGCTAATGCAAAGAATATTCCAGAGCAACAACGAAAACGGGATTTACGTAGATGCACAACTCGATGAGCTCCAGATGCACTGGTATGTACTCCTCACAGGTGCTTTTCTGCTTAGTAAACATAACATCCAAGCGGGGAGGGTGTTGAGGTATGGCATAGCCCGGTTTGGGCTCTGCATTTCTGCTGTTCTTAACTGTTTAGCACTATTTTTCAACTGGGCAGCCGCTCCTGAAATCCTGAGTACATAGGTTTGGCAGAGCGAGGAAGAAAAAGTGCAGTCCAGAGATTTGTTTCTGCGGCTTCCTCAAGATAGAATCTCACGAAAAATAGGCCCTCCAATTGTGTCACCCTGGAGCTGTCAGAAAGAGCCACTCGGCTCCTCATCGTAACTCCAAACATAAAACCCATCTCTTGTGTAGCAGGAAGGTATATAGCTACAGGAGTCACACAGGGCCCAGTGACAACGATTCAGATCGTATCCAGTCAGAAGCAACCGTCAATCAGAGACTTCAGCTGCACTTGGATGGATGTTTGGGAGGACAACTTGGAAAAGCACACAGGACAAGTTTGACTTCACTGCCAAACTCATTCCCAGGACATAGGCTTCTTAATTATAAAACCTTCTTCAAAATATATTTGAGTATGGCAACCTGTTTTCCACACCCAGACGGGGGGTGGGGATAAGAAAACCCCAAGTTTGTGGGGTTTATTAAAACAGGCTACAGAAATAAAACCTGGGGTTAATAGAACCTCATCTGCAAGTCCTTGTCCTTTTTATTTATTTAATTTTTTGCCTTAAAAGACTCCAAGTGCTTTTGTATGCAAGGCATTAGCTTGCATCCCCACCCGCATTATCCCTCCTCCTTGCCCGATGCTGACAAGACCATGGGTCCCTTTAGGCTCCACTCCAGCCTTTGGAAGAAAGCAAAGAAGAGAGTACATTTTGGGAGAAAGTCCTCAGTGGACAAACTGGCTGCAGTGACAGCTATATTTGGGTGGATGTCTCTTAAGACAAATCCATTAAATCTCATTTGCCAGCTTTACCAACAGAACCAGTAAAATCCCTGAGCTTTAACATCAATGTCAGCAACTACAGAATGCTGACAGGAGGCAAAATAAAAACCCGAAACGTTGATTTTAAAAACCTACACTACACACATTTTACAGCAAAATCAACAACCAAGGCCCATGATGCACCAAAGTATTCTGATCCACGAAGATAAATTGGATGTCATTCACACTGGAAGCCAAGAGACTTCTTCTATGTATGCCCAGATTTAAAGAGACCCAGCAACATAACAAATTTCTCTCAGACCGCGCTTACCAGCTGCCTAGTCACAAATGTCTAGCTAAAGATCCCTAATAAAAGAAGCCTTATTCAAAAAGATATATCAAACTGATATGTCAGCCCTAATTGGTGTTTCCTTCTCCAAACTCAAGTTCTCAATCAGAGATTGTGAGTAATTAGCATTGTTTGATAAAAGCTGGATGGAGCCACAGTGAGCAAGGCAGCTTTGAAGGAAATTCGAAGGGTTCAGATTCTCTTTATGCCGCAGGTGTGTGCTTACCAACACAGTCACGAGCAAATGCCCGGAACCCTGACCATGTCCAGAACCATCAGAAGAAAGCAGAACTAACCAGGTTAGTGTTTGTGGAGGAGTAGCCCAAGGAGTCAAGAGTGAATGTCAAGGTCATGCCAAGGACAGGAATCAGTCCTGAGGAAGAGGCCTTTTCCCCACACACCAACAGATGAGGATGACACCAGATCTGAGGGAGATGTCAAACTTAACTTGCTAGAAACCCATTATGCTTCTAATCCACAGGGAGAAAGGGGAGCAGCGGTACAAAAAGCCTATTGAAGTGAGAGAAAATGGGACTGAGATTAGCTCCAAAGGTTTTTCTGGTGATCCAGTCTGGGCAAATGAAGGCCTTCTAAGGAAGCACCGGTGAGTAAGTAGAAAGAATCCAAGAGCCATTGTATAAGTAAGAGAGTAATTTCACCTTTCCTGTCCTTTTTAGAATTCACCACAGCCTATAAAACTCTGGTCATTGATACAAGAGCTGCCAGTTAAAGAAATAACGCTGTCATAAATTTTTTTGCAGAAAAAAATAGCCAAGTATGAAGAAAAAAGTCAAAGCTACCCTACTTAAAGAGACAGATAAAGAAGAAGGCCTTGGGACTGACACCCAGCTAGTGTGCTAAGCGTGAAGCCAACTACAATTGTGTTCTGCTGTTTTATCAAGGAACACAAAAGGAAATTTTTAAGAGAAAGAATCAGATGTGTGGTTTTCAGAAGCATACCTAGAGTACTGGTTCTTCTTAACATAGGGGAAAACTGGGACCATCACAAACAAGTACCAAACCATTTTTTCTCATTTCATGTCCCTTACTACTTACCTATAAATCTTGGAGCAGGCTAGAATTTCAGTATGCGTGTGTGTATGTGTATGTATGTATGTATGTATGTGTGCATGTGCAGAACTACGTGTGTCTAGAATATTTGTAAATGAATGCACATGTATGGAGGAAACGTGTGTGTGTTTGTGTGTGTGTGTTTGTGTGTGTGTATGCACACGCGTCTGCGTATGTCCCCTCTGTTGTCTTTAAAATATGGAAATTAAATGTCTTTAATTTCATTGGAGCTCTAGGAATTTTTTCTTTATCAAGAAGTATCAATATATTATGTTGTTGAACTATAATCTATCTCCACAGACCCAGTCAACTAGAAAAAATGATCTAGTTTATATCACATTCTTCAAAAGAAAAGAAAATAGCAGAGGTTCACAATCTCTGTCCTTTATTACAGACACTTAACGATGTACAATTACCAGCACCTCTTAGCCTTTTAGAGTACACCAAAACAGTTTTTCAGAAAATAACCCACTTCATCCCTATGACAAACCCAAGCTGAAGGTTATTAATATGACCAGGCTCAGGCAACTGTAGCCCCAAAGCTAAAAGAGCCCAGAAGAATGCATCACAAAAGGCCAGAGCCAAGACTCACTGGCTCCTCCTCTGATCCCCACACATTTTGTTTTCTTCCTTAGAAAAAGAGCAAACCCTTATCTGTACATAACGTCCATTTCAGAGGTGGCAATCACCATCTCTAATCCAACCCAGCATCTCTTAGATACACAGTCAATCTTCAATTTCAAAGAGGAAAAGTCTTTGCTTACCTGGTCCTTCTCAGGTTTATCAGAAATGTCATTCAGACTGGAGGAAGTCAGATTCCTATGGGTCATGGCTGGGCTACCTGGAAAAACACAAATGAACTCCGATTAGAGACGTCTTTTCAAGGGCACCAGCTTTGGATGAGCATCTGCAAACACTGAGAGATGGTGATGAGGATGGTGACGAGACTTTTAACCACATTCAATCGTGTGGTGTTTTCCTGAGTTCAGGCTGGAGCACAAATACAGCCAAGCGGAAAGTATGCAAAATCCCAAATACTTCGCCTTATTGCCTGGTTATATTTCAAGTTAAGCTAAATCATAAAGATGCCTAAACCAGTAAGCATAAAAACCTGCTTCTCCAGCTGTGACCATGTCTCTCACTGTCTTTTACACACGTATAGTCTACTGCCCCTTTTTCCTTTGCTTTTCACCCACAGACACAGCCTGTCTCCGGCAGAACTGATCCTGGGTGTGCCTGGATTCCCTCTACCCTTGGCCTGGGCTATCCTTCCAAGCATAAGACTCTCTGGTCACCCAGAAAAGCTACCCACTCTCCTCTGCCCAGCAGACATTTTGGTCACAAATAGTTCCCCTTGTGGGTATCTGGACCAGAATCCCCAGTCTTTGCCTCAAAATGGTATTGACCATTCAGCATTCCTACTACCCGGGCAAATACTTCCCTTTTTCCTCTGTAATGGGACAAACTTCTTTAAGTAGAAGAATGAACCGTACATGGCATTCAACAATGCACCGGTCTTCCTATGGCAGCCAGAGGTCAAACTCACTAGTAATTGACCCAGTTATTCCCAACAGTGTTAGTCACAATAGAAGGACATACAGAGGAGGCGCAAGCTGGCAGACTGCAGGGAGACCGTGTTAATCAACAGGCTCCTGGGCTTCCATTTTGCAGTGGGACCTGCAATCTCTAGACTTATTAAGCAAAACAGTAACTCTTCAAAGCTGAGGTGTTTGACACAACCCCTGCAGGATGCTGAGCAATGCACTAGCTATTAATCCTCAATGATCTGACTCAGGCAAGTCTTCCCAGCAAGGGGGTAAAGGTTGAAAAGCAGCACCAAGTTCAAGCACAGCTTCTCCTTGGCTCGAAACCATTGTTCCCAGAGGTGAATTCCCTCCGACAGAAACCCCAACACACAATCTCACAAAAGATGAAAATCTACCCCTAGTAAGTTAATGTCCGTGTAACACAAGTTCTTTAAATAATAGAATCTCCTTGAACCACTGTATTAGAAAAGACCTAGTGTTCTGAGCCAGGAAGACAGGGTATTTTCCACTCGGCTGCATTTCATTGAGTAAGCATGGCCTAGATCTCTTAAACCCTTTACCTGGCAGGATGTTTTATTCTAGGAAAATCTGAGCACAGGGCATTATTTAAAAGAAAGAAACATCTGAGAAAATGTTTCATAAGCAAAATTAAAGGAGTCCTGTTGAAGGCAGCATTTTATGCTTTGAACTGTTCTAAAGTTCCAGTGTCCACCCAATTCAAGAGGTGTCAGGAACGAACTCTAACAACCCCAGATAATGCTGAGACGGGAACTAATGGGAAATGGAGAGTTGGGTTTAACTTTGTCCTTTCGCCAACAAGCAAAAGTGGCCATGGGCACAACCTGGTGGCAGCTGCTCTGCATGAGAAGCAGGAATCGCATATTAATCAAGGAAGGCTGAGCAGTGCTGATCATACACACAAATTCAACAGCCTTCAGTGAGAAACAAATCAGACTGACTTCTAATGATTCCATGCATTTTGTTGAAGTCTCAGTAATGACATAACTTGGAAGGTAAATAAATTAAACTTTGGGGGTAACTGATTAAAGATACAGATTTGCTTTGGAAATCTATGATAAACACTGTAAGGTATATTTGAACCAACCATTGTCCTTCTTGCCACAAAGCCTGAATAGCTAAAAGCCAATACAATGTGGATTCTATTATAATGATAAACTTGATTGATGTGACAGGTTTTTTTTTTCCTGAGATAGGGTTTCTCTGTGTAGCTTTGAAGTCTGTCCTGGCACTAGTTCTTATAGACCAGGCTGGCCTCAAACTCACAGAGATCCTCCTGCCTCTGTCTTCCAAGCGCTGGGATCAAAGGTGTGCGCCACCACCACCCAGCCTTGATGTGACAATCTTCTTGCCAAAGAAACAAAGCCTGTCTCATTTCTGTCCTTTCTGAAAGACGTCCATCATGTGGCTAGTCTCAAATCGCTCTTTGTCGGGGGCAGAAGAAGGCACAGGCTGAGGAAGGACACGGGAACCAGATGAGAAAAAAAACGACTGTACTAAGGGACAATCAAATCCACTGACCCTCCTAAATTTGATTTGATTTCTAGTAATAAAAGTAACTAATATGGGTGCTCAATTTTGTAAGATATAACAGCTCCAAGGACAACGAATCCAGGACAATAGATAAAGAGATTGGAATTGTTTCGCCTTTTCCTAACTCTGACCCTAACAAAAGCAGCACACTCCCTCCTCAACGCCTGGGGTCAGAGACAACCAAATCCTTCCCAGTGCTCTGATTCCATGGTAACCAACGTGAGGACCCAGGACCAGCAACATCCACACCACAAGGGCACTGCTCATTAGAACCCGAATTCTGAGGCTCACCCTACTCTAACTTTAACAAAACTCTGGGCATGGGACATAGGCAAAGGAGCTTTGTCCAACCCTCCGAGCAGCACTGCAGGGTGGGAAATGCGGAGAACCACTACTCAAAATGAAAAGTCATCTTGGCAGGCAGCGTGCTACTGGGACTGTGAGTCCAAAGCACCCCATCTGAGCTCGGGAAGCGAGAGGCATCATTCTGGCAACGTGCCCTGTGACAAAGCCACTGCTGCCACCTGTCCTATCTCAAACAAATCATTAAATCAGCAACGTCACTATATAAATACACACAAAAGAGTATTTGTTTCTTTCCCCTTGATTCTTCACCTTTACAACCAAATCAATAAATAACTTTGTTTTGGAAACTCACTTTGACCACAGAAACATCTTACCAAAACCAAAGAAGACAGGACAAGAGCCAGAAGAGATTACAAACTAGACCATGTGGGAATCAGAAATCTGCGCGTGGAATTTAACAAACGCAGGAAGCTGTTACACAACGGGCCCGTAACAACGAGGTATTGTGCACATTTTGTAACAGATATGCAATAGGACATGTTGTCAGAATAAATCAGGGCTCTGTATTTAGAGTTGGGGCATGTAATATACACTCGCTACACTGCAGCACTGAGTGAGAGGACCAGAGAAAACCGCCCCGGGCGCCATCAGGTGTCGGAGAGCATGTTACCTTTGGGGACAGGTGATAACTTACTCAGGGCTGCATTCAAATCCTCTTTCCAACTAAAATCCAGGACATTCAAATGCCTTGGAACTGTTCTTGGCCCAAAGGAACTTTGCTTCTAAAGTGTGATTTTACCAAGATAGATAGATAGATAGATAGATAGATAGATAGATAGATAGATAGATAGATAGATAGATAGATAGATAGATAGAAGGAAGAACTAGTCTTGGGTGCACAATCATAATTAACTTCCACATCACTGTTTCCAGCCCATAAGGAAAGGAAAGCAATGGAGATCATATTTTCAAGCAGTTTCACACAGTTGAATGCTGTTTCATTTTCAAAGTACCCACTTGGCGGGTACACACTGTTTCTATAAAAATTACACTCTGTACTGTTTGAAAAATCATTGTTATTCTTTAGTGCATGTGCAGCAGTTTTAAAAGCCCTGCGCTACTGCATCTATCAGAGACCTGAAAAAGAAGTGAGGGAATGCAGAGCATAGAAAAACGATATTTAAATGTGCGCACAAAAGCTAATATTTATATAATACAATGAAAGATTAACCCCACCTTACCTCATACCGCCATAAGAAGCTAATAAGATACAGAGGGACAAGCTAAAACAAGGATTTCATGACCTATGAACCATACTGGATCCTTTATTCTCATGAGTAACTAAGCAGCAATTTCAGTATTAAACAACAACAACAATTAAAAAAAAATCCCTACCAGGACTGATGGGTTATACCTGTAAATCCTAGCTATTCAGGAAGCTGAGGAGGAGAGAATTCCAAGTTTCAGGGCAGCCAGGGCAATATTGTCTCCAAATAAAAAGTGAAGGCACAGGCCTTTGATCCCAGCACTTGGGAGGCAGAGGCAGGTGGATCTCTGTGAGTTCTAGATCAGCCTGGTCTCCAAATTGAGTTCCAGGACAGTCAGGGCTGTTATACACAGAAACCCTGTCTCAAAAACCACACACAAAAATGTAAAGATTGGAGTTAGGGTATTTACCTAGATTCAGTCCCCAGTGTTACAAATAAACACATTTTAAAATATAAATAACTATCCCAGGCAGTGGTGGTGCATGCATTTAAACCCATCACTGGGGAGGCAGAGGCAGGCAAATCTCTGAGTTCAAAGACAGCCTGGTCTACAAAGTGAGTTCTGACAATCAGGGCTACACAGACCCTGTCTTGAAAAACCATCATCTTCATCATCATCATCATCATCATCATATAATTATTATTATATAGAAAAATAGGTAGCTTGTATATTATAATAGACATAAGTGAATCTAGGTAATGATAAATTTCCCGAATTTATCACAGATTCAGAACTATAAATCTGATTTACACTGCCTAGAGTCACAGAAATATATGCAGCTTATTTTTCAAAAGCCTATGCTATAGTTTTGTCCCCAGCCTGTGGAACTATTAGGAAGTAGTGGAACCTTTTGGAAAGGAATGTGTAGTTAAAGGAAATCAGATCCTAGGAAAGAATCTTTGAAGGGTATAAGGGCACCTCCCACAAGATCCCACCATGATGTCTGTGCCACCAAGGGCCCAAACCCTAGTGACTTGAAGAGGTGGGCCCCAATAACTCTCTCCCCATTTTAGCTTTCTTCTCTTCAGTATTTTGTGACAGGGAGGACATCTTCCAAGCTCAGCTGGTTAATGTACTCTAAACGCTCAATATCCACCACTTCCTGAATATGCACGCCTTACTTCTCATATCAATACTGTGATGTGATATTATTAGCAGCACATCAAGC